TTACTGGTGACTTGAGATGTAATGTGTGATGAGAGACACTAGCTGCTGGTTTACTGGTGACTTGAGATGTAATGTGTGATGAGAGACACTAGCTGCTGGTTTACTGGTGACTTGAGATGTAATGTGTGATGAGAGACACTAGCTGCTGGGTTTACTGGTGACTTGAGATGTAATGTGTGATGAGAGACAATAGCTGCTGGTTTACTGGTGACTTGAGATGTAATGTGTGATGGAGACACTAGCTGCTGGTTTACTGGTGACTTGAGATGTAATGTTTGATGAGAGACACTAGCTGCTGGGTTTACTGGTGACTTGAGATGTAATGTGTGATGAGAGACACTAGCTGCTGGTTTACTGGTGACTTGAGATGTAATGTGTGATGAGAGACAATAGCTGCTGGTTTACTGGTGACTTGAGATGTAATGTGTGATGAGAGACAATAGCTGCTGGTTTACTGGTGACTTGAGATGTAATGTGTGATGAGAGACAATAGCTGCTGGTTTACTGGTGACTTGAGATGTAATGTGTGATGAGAGACACTAGCTGCTGGTTTACTGGTGACTTGAGATGTAATGTGTGATGAGAGACACTAGCTGCTGGTTTACTGGTGACTTGAGATGTAATGTGTGATGAGAGACACACAGCTGCTGGTTTACTGGTGACTTGAGATGTAATGTGTGATGAGAGACAATAGCTGCTGGTTTACTGGTGACTTGAGATGTAATGTGTGATGAGAGACAATAGCTGCTGGTTTACTGGTGACTTGAGATGTAATGTGTGATGAGAGACACTAGCTGCTGGTTTACTGGTGACTTGAGATGTAATGTGTGATGAGACACACTAGCTGGGTTTACTGGTGACTTGAGATGTAATGTGTGATGAGAGACACTAGCTGCTGGTTTACTGGTGACTTGAGATGTAATGTGTGATGAGAGACAATAGCTGCTGGTTTACTGGTGACTTGAGATGTAATGTGTGATGAGAGACACTAGCTGCTGGTTTACTGGTGACTTGAGATGTAATGTGTGATGAGAGACACTAGCTGCTGGTTTACTGGTGACTTGAGATGTAATGTGATGATGAGACACTAGCTGCTGGTTTACTGGTGACTTGAGATGTAATGTGTGATGAGAGACACTAGCTGCTGGGTTTACTGGGGACTTGAGATGTACTGTGTGGCGAGAGACAATAGCTGCTGGTTTACTGGTGACTTGAGATGTAATGTGTGATGAGAGACAATAGCTGCTGGGTTTACTGGTGACTTGAGATGTAATGTGTGATGAGAGACAATAGCTGCTGGTTTACTGGTGACTTGAGATGTAATGTGTGATGAGAGACACTAGCTGCTGGGTTTACTGGTGACTTGAGATGTAATGTGTGATGAGAGACACTAGCTGCTGGTTTACTGGTGACTTGAGATGTAATGTGTGATGAGAGACAATAGCTGCTGGTTTACTGGTGACTTGAGATGTAATGTGTGATGAAAGACAATAGCTGCTGGTTTACTGGTGACTTGAGATGTAATGTGTGATGAGAGACAATAGCTGCTGGTTTACTGGTGACTTGAGATGTAATGTGTGATGAGAGACAATAGCTGCTGGTTTACTGGTGACTTGAGATGTAATGTGTGATGAGAGACAATAGCTGCTGGTTTACTGGTGACTTGAGATGTAATGTGTGATGAGAGACACTAGCTGCTGGGTTTACTGGTGACTTGAGATGTAATGTGTGATGAGAGACACTAGCTGCTGGTTTACTGGTGACTTGAGATGTAATGTGTGATGAGAGACAATAGCTGCTGGTTTACTGGTGACTTGAGATGTAATGTGTGATGAGAGACAATAGCTGCTGGTTTACTGGTGACTTGAGATGTAATGTGTGATGAGAGACAATAGCTGCTGGTTTACTGGTGACTTGAGATGTAATGTGTGATGAGAGACAATAGCTGCTGGTTTACTGGTGACTTGAGATGTAATGTGTGATGAGAGACAATAGCTGCTGGTTTACTGGTGACTTGAGATGTAATGTGTGATGAGAGACAATAGCTGCTGGTTTACTGGTGACTTGAGATGTAATGTGTGATGAGAGACAATAGCTGCTGGTTTACTGGTGACTTGAGATGTAATGTGTGATGAGAGACAATAGCTGCTGGTTTACTGGTGACTTGAGATGTAATGTGTGATGAGAGACAATAGCTGCTGGTTTACTGGTGACTTGAGATGTAATGTGTGATGAGAGACAATAGCTGCTGGTTTACTGGTGACTTGAGATGTAATGTGTGATGAGAGACACTAGCTGCTGGTTTACTGGTGACTTGAGATGTAATGTGTAATGAGAGACAATAGCTGCTGGTTTACTGGTGACTTGAGATGTAATGTGTGATGAGAGACACTAGCTGCTGGTTTACTGGTGACTTGAGATGTAATGTGTGATGAGAGACACTAGCTGCTGGTTTACTGGTGACTTGAGATGTAATGTGTGATGAGAGACACTAGCTGCTGGGCCTTTACTGGTGACTTGAGATGTAATGTGTGATGAGAGACAATAGCTGCTGGTTTACTGGTGACTTGAGATGTAATGTGTGATGAGAGACAATAGCTGCTGGTTTACTGGTGACTTGAGATGTAATGTGTGATGAGAGACAATAGCTGCTGGTTTACTGGTGACTTGAGATGTAATGTGTGATGAGAGACAATAGCTGCTGGTTTACTGGTGACTTGAGATGTAATGTGTGATGAGAGACAATAGCTGCTGGTTTACTGGTGACTTGAGATGTAATGTGTGATGAGAGACAATAGCTGCTGGTTTACTGGTGACTTGAGATGTAATGTGTGATGAGAGACAATAGCTGCTGGTTTACTGGTGACTTGAGATGTAATGTGTGATGAGAGACAATAGCTGCTGGTTTACTGGTGACTTGAGATGTAATGTGTGATGAGAGACAATAGCTGCTTACTGCACTTACTGGTGACTTGAGACACTAGCTGCTGGTTTTACTGGTGACTTGAGATGTGATGATGAGAGACAATAGCCGCTGGTTTACTGGTGACTTGAGATGTAATGTTTGATGAGAGACATTAGCTGCTGGTTTACTGGTGACTTGAGATGTAATGTGTGATGAGAGACATTAGCTGCTGGTTTACTGGTGACTTGAGATGTAATGTGTGATGAGAGACAATAGCTGCTGGGTTTACTGGTGACTTGAGATGTAATGTGTGATGAGAGACAATAGCTGCTGGTTTACTGGTGACTTGAGATGTAATGTGTGATGAGAGACAATAGCTGCTGGTTTACTGGTGACTTGAGATGTAATGTGTGATGAGAGACAATAGCTGCTGGTTTACTGGTGACTTGAGATGTAATGTGTGATGAGAGACAATAGCTGCTGGTTTACTGGTGACTTGAGATGTAATGTGTGATGAGAGACACTAGCTGCTGGTTTTTACTGGTGACTTGAGATGTAATGTGTGATGAGAGACAATAGCTGCTGGTTTACTGGTGACTTGAGATGTAATGTGTGATGAGAGACACTAGCTGCTGGTTTACTGGGTGACTTGAGATGTACTGTGTGATGGGAGACACTAGCTGCTGGTTTACTGGTGACTTGAGATGTAATGTTTGATGAGAGACACTAGCTGCTGGGTTTACTGGTGACTTGAGATGTAATGTGTGATGAGAGACACTAGCTGCTGGGTTTACTGGTGACTTGAGATGTAATGTGTGATGAGAGACAATACCTGCTGGTTTACTGGTGACTTGAGATGTAATGTGTGATGAGAGACAATAGCTGCTGGTTTACTGGTGACTTGAGATGTAATGTGTGATGAGAGACAATAGCTGCTGGTTTACTGGTGACTTGAGATGTAATGTGTGATGAGAGACAATAGCTGCTGGTTTACTGGTGACTTGAGATGTAATGTGTGATGAGAGACAATAGCTGCTGGTTTACTGGTGACTTGAGATGTAATGTGTGATGAGAGACACTAGCTGCTGGTTTACTGGTGACTTGAGATGTAATGTGTGATGAGAGACACTAGCTGCTGGTTTAACTGGTGACTTGAGATGTAATGTGTGATGAGAGACACTAGCTGCTGGTTTACTGGTTACTTGAGATGTAATGTGTGATGAGAGACACTAGCTGCTGGTTTACTGGTGACTTGAGATGTAATGTGTGATGAGAGACACTAGCTGCTGGGTTTACTGGGGACTTGAGATGTAATGTGTGATGAGAGACACTAGCTGCTGGGTTTTACTGGTGACTTGAGATGTACTGTGTGATGAGAGACAATAACTGCTGGTTTACTGGTGACTTGAGATGTAATGTGTGATGAGAGACACTAGCTGCTGGTTTACTGGTGACTTGAGATGTAATGTGTGATGAGAGACAATAGCTGCTGGGTTTACTGGGGACTTGAGATGTAATGTGTGATGAGAGACAATAGCTGCTGGTTTACTGGGGACTTGAGATGTAATGTGTGATGAGAGACACTAGCTGCTGGTTTACTGGGGACTTGAGATGTAATGTGTGATGAGAGACACTAGCTGCTGGTTTAACATTAATGGGTAATGTTAATTATGGAGAACCAACACGATAATGGTTGGAATGACAGTAGTCAAATAATTGTCAGATCCTACCCAGGATATCACACCTCACCTGCTGCGGTCAGTGTAAAGTCTACATATATATCAATGAAATCACATAGAACGGTGACACTGGATCTTCTGCGAGAGCTCTCGGTATGTAATGATATTTATCACTTTATTGCATGTTGAAACTATACAAATATGATTCGAACTCAGTTCCTTGAGCAAAAAGACGTCCTGTGTGATACGTCCCGTGAAGATCCTAGAATTTATCTTCAGTAATCCATGCTTGTACTAAGAGGCGATTAACGGGATCGGGTGTCCAGGCTCGCTGACTTGGTTGACACGTCATCCTATCCCAGTTGCGTAGATCGATGCTCATGCTGTTGATCACTGGATTGTCTGGTTCAGACTGGATTATTTACAGATCGCCGCCACATAGGTGGAATATTGTTGAGTGCAGCGTAAAATTAAAGTCACTCACTAACATCGGTGATACATGTACAGGGCCACTACGATCATGGTAAATGCGAGGATATAATACATGTTGAGGGCCAGCTGGAAGATGGCGACAGAGAGCAGGGTCGTCACCAACATGGCGCAGGAGATGATGAAGAGACGTGTGATGTTACTGCCATGCTTCATGATGACCGACATTATCAGTCCATTGAAGGCCTGGGAATAGATACAGTCTTATTAAGTTGTGCATTACAGATACACTGGACATATTTCATACCAACTTCACAGCAAAGGGGTCTAATCATGGTCTTATCATAGCCACCAATAACATTGTATCAGTCTTACCGAGGACACGACTATGGCCCACGTCTTAAATGTGAAACCTTCGAACAAATCTAGACGTCTATCTGTAAGGGAAAAGAACGTGATAATAAATGTATTTTATTCCTGAAAAAAAATGTATGTTTTATTAGCAAATATTCTCGATTGGGTTTCTTTTCGCTGAACCCTTTTTATAAACTATTCAACCTCCTTTCTTAAAATTCTTTGAGTGATGGTGGTGTCGATATTTATTGATAATTATTTTTCAAGTAATTCTCTAACATTGCAACAGCCCTGGAATACAAGCACGAAGCAAGCATCACAAGAAAAAGACACTATCACAGTTTGACAGTTCAAGTTGGCATTAAATCATGCAAATACGTTGTGGTGTCAACAATCTAAATATAACTGTAAATAAATTGTTAATACAATCAGTAGATACCCCCAGTTCTTATTGAATATTATTGTTTAGGTATTTCACCTATTTGTTCCGGAGAATTTAATGGTTGTCTTTCTGTGAGATAACAATACCTCCTCCTTGCCACTCCATGCTTCCTGTACGGCCCACAGTCCACCGTTGAGAACAATACCGAATGTATACAGCAGTGTGTTCTGCACATTCAGGGATGTCTGGAAAGCACATTAAGATAAATATTCATACTGCACATTAGCATAACAATGCATTGTCGTTACATGTTAGCGACATATCAAACTGTAACTTACACAATGTGGAAGACTAAAACCCATAATCAATGTGCCATTCCCAGAGTTTAGTTGCCGCTTTTAGCAATTGATATGATTTAAAACAATATTTATTCATTATTAAATGAACGGATTGGTAAACAGGCTATAAGCCTATAAAAATACCTTTCCGAATACAATGCGATGGGAAACATTTTATATACATTCATCATTACAGACAAGAGAACACACCATTTGAGGAGTAAAAAGACTTAATGAAAAAGACAGTAGTATAATTAATCAATTAGGTAAAAATCTTTGTTAAGATAAAATAGTCATGTACAGATTTTACAATATTTTCGTTGATTTCGTCAGAATATGAGTAACTTCCACATAAAGTACAGATTGAATATTAAAACCATTTATGTAATAGAAACACTTCGATCGAATTGTATTAAAAATTTGGACAGATAAATAGAAAATGAATGGCATCTTCATAATGATGGCCACAAGTGCAAGTAGACGCATTTTTTGAAGAAAAACGGTCAAATTTATGTGCGTTTAAGTCACTACAGCAAAGTCTTAACTTACAATGAATTATTTGATTAAATCTATTACCAGTGTTTCTGAAGACATGATGTACGTTGGATGAGACAGTTCGATCAAAGTGTTTCTTGAACATGGCAACGGAATCTATGTTTCTTATATCATTATCTAACTTGTTCCACTCCATCACACAGGATGGTAAAAAGATTTTGATATGTTTCCGTACGACATAATGGTACTTGAAGCATATTACTAGATCTAGATCCATATGTGGATACAGAGGATATGTTTATTGGAATTAGATCTGATAAATACTTTGGTGTTTTATTATGGAACATTTTATGAAATACATACATTTGGTGATTTTACGACGTTCCCTTTAATGATGAAAAACCAGTTTCATGGTAGATTTTGGAATGACAAACTCCTCTAACTGATCCACATATGGTTCTTAAAGCATCTAAGGAAGTTTTTGAACAATAACCCTTGAGTTTGTGTACAGTTATTCCAAATATAATCACAATAGTCAAAAAGTGGTAAAACAAATGAACTATACAGGGTTTGGAGGGTTTTCCTCTGAAGGCGGTATTTCAGATTTCTTAAACAATTGATCATAGGACTGACTTTTAGAAATAATATCATCTCTATGTATATTCCAGTGGCCATCACTTTGTAAAGTCAGCCCCAGATGTTTATGAGTGTCAACAGACTTTATCGGTATATCATTCATTATAAGATCTGGCATTGATGTTACTGTTTTCTTTCTAGAAAAAAATGATAGATTCAGTTTTATTGGGATTAAAGTTTACTTTCCATGTCTGGGCCATTTAGCTATTATTTCTAAATCATCGTTTAACATATTGGAACAATATCATTGATATAAACACGTGATCTGTGCCCACACTGCCTCTAGTCCTGGAAGTTGTAAGTCAGGCCTGTGCTTACAGTAAATAAAGTCTTTCACATAAATTGCAACCCCACCTCCCCTAGTTTGTCTATCATTACGAAATGGCGGATGAAACCAAGGCATAAGAATGTCATAATTTGAAATACCATCATGCAACCAAGTTTCTGATATACATATAACATCATATTCCTGAAGTTCTGCGTAAACTAAGTCTACTTTATCAGTAAGACTACAAACATTAGTATGTACATTACTTAAATCTGAGTTAACTGGTCCCGGGTTAGGGTGAATATCTCCACAACAGAGTAGTAATAATAGAGCTATCTGAATACCCCTGACCCCAAGTGTACAGACTAACATCACCAAATAATAAGTAGATATGTCTTTTTACCATGTTCAATATCACGGCGGAGGACACCAGAAATGGGCTTCACTCATTGCGTCCTTGTGGGGAGACTCGGGACTTTGGCGTGACGAGCGAACGTCTTAACCACTAGGCTACCCCACCACCCCCGCCCCCGTTCCCAGAGGAATTGTGAAACATTCCGGGTTAACTAATTTATGCTGTAGGGCTGGGACGGGTAACCCGGATACCCGGGACGGGTGGGTAATGAGTTGGACCCGGGTACCCGTCTCAATACCCAGACCCGTTATGATCATGTGACTAATAGATTAAACAATGTAATATGTTATTCTTTCATGATGAAAAGTCTGTATTGTCTTTGAAGATTTAGGCATAATTTACAGACACTTCTTTTGAATATAATACATGGTTAAGATGTTGGAAAACTCGAAATTTTAGCCTCCGAGCTGAAGAATATATTGCCATTTCTTACAAATTTGATGTCAGGAATTAACATAACGGGTGTCCAGGTAGGGTAGGGTAATAGCGGGTGGGGTACCCGGTACCCGGATCCGTCCCAGCCCTACTACGCGGTTTAGTCTCTATTCGCCTACATCTCAATTCGCCTACATCCCATTTCGCATACAAAAACAATGTAGGCTAACTAGGATTAGAAATTGCTCGCTGGTCAGTGCCATTCTAATCAGGTATATCATCCAAATTATCATTACTCATCTTTAAATTACTTTTTAACGACACACATTTTGGAAAAAGTAAGCATAAATGGATAATGAACATTAAGCATATTTTTGCCGAAATTGGACTTGGTTATATCTGGAATTCCCAAAATTTTGACCATTTGAATAAACTAAAAATTACAGTTAAATGTAAACTAGAACATTCATCAAAAGGTATCTTATATAGCTCGTTATCTAACGTTGATCTAAGGTTGAGTAAATATTTGGATATTTTAAATGATAATTGTTCAAAGGCATTGTTACGTTATGAAACAGCAAATCATAACTTACCCATTGAAACAGGCCGCTGGAGCAATATTCAAAAACGTGATAGAATATGTAAACTTTGTAATGGTAACGACATTGGCGATGAATTTCATTATATATTTATTTGTTCTCACTTTATAAATGCAAGAGTTAAATATTTAAAGCCATATTTTAATTCCAAACCAAATTTTCATAAAATGTATACATTATTCAATAACAATAAGGAAGGTATTCTTAGAAAACTCTGTTTATTATGTAATATTATTATAAATGTTTTTAAGAATCGTCGGTAAGAATACTCCATCTTAACATTTTTCTTATCTTTATGCAATCTATTTGCAGATAGAGTTGCAATCTGTCTATGTATATAATGCATTATTCATCTGTATATATGAAATACTCGACTGCACATACATTGTATATGACTATATGAATATATTTAATATTGTAACATATATGTAACCTCATATGCCACTGTCTGCGGCCTGAGTTGAAATAAAGTTCAGTTTGTTCAGTTAAAATAAAATGAAAGGGATTAATGCACAAGCTAAATTGTAAAAGCAATGATAAGATGTAGTTCATTTCTCACTGTAAAATACTCAGTTGTTATAGGGATATGTAGTTGAGTAAAGAAGATTGGTGCATCCACTAAGAAGTTCAAACTACATGAAGCCACACACTGGAAGTGCGTCATAGATAAATGTAAAGGTTAATGCAGTAAAACATGTCTTTTGTCCTAACTACTTCAACTAAAAGAGTCCACTTTTAGATCATAGGGGTGCCACTAGTTTACCATTGCCCAACCAGCAGTCAACAGACCATGAAATGTTGTTTTAAGACTGTAGGCGAATTGGGATGTAGGCGAAATGAGAACATGCCTACTACGCTGCCATGTTGTCGGGGAAGATTCTGGCCAGCCTAACAAGTGAAGAAAAATAAATACCTTTAACACATTTAGCGCCGTGTTGAATATACCATACCAGTGAATGTTACTGTCAGGTGGTACACACGGTTATCGTTATAGTTACCGAAAGATATTAACTTACAAATCTTGAAAGTTTAACCTATATATCTTGAAATTTCAACGTATATATTTTGAAATTTCAAGAATTATAATCTTCGAAATTTCAATTGCAAGTAGAAAAGAAAAACTTTTTTATGGATAACAACTTTGAATAATAATGAACCAGTGTCGACTTTGTCAAGCAAGTCAACTTCAATTATATAGTAGAAAAGTAAAATAACTTAATGGATAAACAATTTCTTTATTTCTTATGATGCGACGTTCTGTATAGCTTTTATATACCGTTGTCAAACCTTGGCTAAATTGTTAATGTATCATCACAGAACTGACTTATATACATCCGCCTCAACACGGATGAATTGTATTAGACAATCATGAGGGAATACATCAAAGGGATTAACAACATGTTGTCAATGGGTGTTACATGTATATAAGTCGGTTCAATGCTGCATTACAATTGGAGGTAAAGACGCCAAACGTGTTGAGGAGAAATAAAAAGGACCATAGTTTTTAATTGCAAGAACATTGAAATGCTTTCAAAACAGTTCAATTGCAAGAACATTGAGATACTTTGTTTCAATTAGCGCAATCATTCCCTAGAATAGATCGGTGATAGATGATATTTTACGATGTGATTTTCAAGCGTATTTGCACGTAGAAATTTGGTCATCACCTTACCTGATAGTGTCTCTTTAATATGTATTCCGTGTAGACGCCTGCTAAGCCTGATATACAACAGTAAATGAACATCATGATCAGACCTGCCACGGTCAGGTGCATCTCTCCGGACCACGTCGACCCACTGGCCTGCATACCTCCATAGCTGGGCAAACAGAGCGTGGGGGAGATAATCACAATACATTACACTTACATTTGTATAGCTGGACAGCTTAAAGTGAAATTATACGATAGCTATTAGAAAGAATTCCATAATTATTCCTGTCAACTATTCTCATTTTCACCCAGTCAAATATATACGTTAAGGCTACGAAATCCTAGGTCTTACAATTCGAATTTAAATCCTTTCAGATCTTACTTGAATGTACCTCCTTTAATATGTCTACTATAGGACAGCAGGGCATCACAATACTGTAGGTAAAAGCTGCAGTATGTTCGCCATTTTTTCTTCAATCTCTGAGATAATGATTTAAATACATGTATGTTTTTGTGTATAGAAGTAAAAACTGGTATATGTAAACATAGTCTGCACTCGTGATATTAGTTCATGCATCCACAGAAACAAAGCATTTTGTCAACTCTTAAATATATCTACGACGGTGGTAGCTCTAATATTAACATTAAATACTGTTCTCCCCACCCCAAAGTATGTGACGCAAAAGCTTGCATTAAAGAATATATTTAAACCGCCGGGGTCTTAGCACTACAAAAAAGTATATATAGTGCTAGGACACAGCAGGGATAATATAGGCCAATTCTATTGTTTGTTGGGTTTTTTTGCGTTAGAATCCCCTGTGCTTCCAGGTAACCATGTCTACCTACCTGTCCAGTATGCCAGACATGCTGAGAACACCAAGAGACATCCACTGCACAACGGTCAGCGGGCTGCAGCAACAACCAACCTTTCAACAGATGTCTCTCTGATCAGTGCTTTATGTAATGAGACAATTTCTACCCCGTTCTGCATACCTTTAGAACGTATGTCAGTTTTTTGCTGAAGTGGACATTTAGTACAATGCACTAATACTAATATTGAATTATAAAAAGGTGTATGAATGACGTGTTTAAGTATGTTTCAAATACGTGTTACCTGTCTCAAGGATGCAACTCAAAACAGTGCGCTTTAAGTGCGAAATCGGATCAATCTGCCGCGCTCGTAAAACAGACAGAAACAACAAACTGATACTATCTCATAGCTACAGGCATCGTCTGTACAACTTACGTCATTACAGTAGGGTTTTTGGAACACTTTGCGGACTGATCATTGCATGAAGTTAAATGCTGTGTGTATGCTGCCGTTCGAACTCTTGAGGCACTTCACACCGTTTCCTAACAAAAAACATCTAATGACAAGAATACAACACCAAATAAAAACCGGTATCAAGTAAGAACAACTGAAACAAGCAAAAGTCAATTTGAAGAAAATGGAAATACAAGACAGCGTAAGTATTTCTTAAAACTGATGATTCCCTTAAGGCACAATTAAGGTCTGAACACAAAGAGATAAGAATGGGCGATGAAAAATATATTTCTCAAACAGAAGGGATACTCTTCAAAAATAATTAAAAGCTATTTTACAGGCAACTCAAATCAAAGGGTGATGACGATCATGATATACGACCTCCCATGGATGCAAATGAAAGGTTCTGGAAACAGCTGTGGTCTGTACTCGGCAACTGTAAGCCTGAGGCACCATGGGTCCGTGATTCCGATCATGCAATGCATGAGAAAATATATGTTTTATCACACCAGATCACCTCGAAAGTGTTCAGCCTCTAATACTGCAGCAAGGCCTGATGGCATCCGAAACTGGTGTTGGAAACTGCTCCCATGTGTCAAAACACCATTACTTCCCTGTTTCAGTTCTGTTGTGAACGCAGGGGATGTTCCTCCATGGTACTGCAAAAGTACTACAAGGTGTTTGACAAACTTCCTGTCGTCAGACTGATCTTCCAACGATATAATTTATAAAGAGCAGAAGGTAAAGAGGAAATGATGGTGGGGTGAAAGGTTCAACTTACGAATAAATATATTTTGGAAGATTCTACCACCGTAACCTCTCCAGTACAAGAACGCATACGACTCTGTCCCTTCATTAATGGATTCTGAAGTTTCTTCATTGTATTGACCTCCCTGAGCGATTACTTCATTTACAGGGGTCTTCAGTGAGTTTCTGGTCGACTCAACTTGTGCAGACTTCAGAGTCTATTCCAATCAGAAGGCGAACATTCCAGCGGGACTTTGCCTTCTTTCTTTGTTCGTTTGTTTGTTTCAAATCCTTTTCTTTCTGCTCAGTAAAGAGGACTGTTACCATCCCGGACCTCCTCAGCACGTATCCCCAACATCGCTTACACATCTGCTTTAAATGGATGACATTGAGGTCCTTGCCAAAGGAGACGCATATTTGAAAGAACATGTTCTATACATGTCTAGTCCCTTTCCAATGATATTGGCATGACATTTGGACTCGACAAATGCAGTTCTCTTCATTTGAAACGTGTATTGGAGAGCAAGTTCGAGACAAGCTCCAGAATGCCCACGTTCACAGCAAACAAAGAAATGTGGATCTCAGAGCTAAATCGGAGCAGGGTCAAAGCCACAAATAGTTTTGCTGTGCCAGTTCTTTCTTATTCTTTACGAATAGTTGTTTGGACAAACCATGACATCTTGAGTCCTGGCCGCCTGAGTAGAAGGATCATGTCTGACAACAGAGCCCACCAACCCTCAATTCGGGCGGGCGGTATTGATAAACATCGGGGCTCTTCGTGACAGAATTTCATTTGTGTTCTTTTCTTATTTTTCGGATAAATCTCAGGTGATGCATGTCATGATTGTTGAAGAAAACAAAGAATTCCACAGCAATTTTAAGCGCGCCAATGTTGGACAGAATATCAAAGTTTATATTGATTTTGTTAATGGTGCTGTACAGCTGGACGGTACAGTGATTGGAGTAAAGCACGCGAAGTCATCCACCAAGTCAGCCCATAGTCAGTCATTCAAGGACATGCTTTATTGGTAACCACTGGTGACCATGAACAGCAATCTAACCGACTCGTTCGCCTGGATGAAGTAGGCTGGTCTTAAAATCGAACAGTGGGCTTTCTTTTTATTGCCCAGGACCAGTCACAAGTTTCGATCTTCTAATGACTGTTCATCCCCTTGACAGTCCTTCCGTGGGCACATACAGCATATTGGAAACGACATGATGCCAAAGTTCGCTGGTTCTATTACCACCTTCGCTATGCTTGTGACTTTGACCCCGAGGTCCATCCACATATTACGACCCTGAACATGTCCGTGGCGTCCTAGAACCTTTTTGGAATAAGTCCATATATAGCCTAAGAAAAAATCCTGCGAAGAAACCTGACCTTGTCCTTTCAAAAAAGCCAATAGAATGAATAGAATGTTATTGAATTATATTTTTCTGACAACACTGTGATTGGAAAGATTCAGGAAAAGCATAATGAATATGTTGACCTCTCCTATATAAATGTCTCACTTGAATCCCAAGTACACTGTCGTCAAGTACACCGTTGTTCTCGATGCCCTGGGTTTGGTTACCACCTGATTTCTTGGTGCAGATCAGGAGTGTGTCCCTGTTCCCCACTGGGAGCACAGCACTTCTGACACTCAGTATAATGTAGAAGGCTGCGGTGTTGGAGAGTCTCCACATCCTCTGGTATGTTCTTGATGGGTTCGAATAGGGAGCGCTTCCTGAACTTCCTGAAGAAAGTCCCATTCGCTCTCTGGGCTGCGAGGGCCCTGAGCTGATGATGAGCCTAACCAGCCTGTGCCAGGATCACCCGAACCCTCTTTGCTTCATTTGTATATGTATTTTAATCTGCAAAGGAATAAAAGTGAAGAAAGAAGGAAGAATTCATACAATGCGCCATTTTGCATGTAACGAAGCATGCTCAAAACGTCAATTTTGTTACTTTAAAGGTTCAGACAGAATTTAAGTTTACATGTGAGAATGACAAACTGAAGTTTGTCACCAGACCATACTATCTAATGCCTGTACCTATGAACAAGATCCTAGAGATAAGATGGAACTGTTCCATTTACATAAATACTGATACTACTACTGGAACAAAATCTCACCAGATCAATCTTGAAATCTCATATCGGATGACAATTTGTAATCGCATAATTTGTAATCAAAATATTCCATGTGTTAAGTTATGGGAATAAGGAAGGAATAATAATATAATATTGAATCCTAGATTCTAACATTAAAACAACGATTATGACCCAAGACTATTTGACTAACCGTTGAATGACGACCCTGTACAGAACTGCAGTTGTGGCCACTTTCATGTTGCCCAAGATCTATGAAACGTACGAAAACTCAAAGCCAGAGAATACTCGATATCGATTATCCCACGAAACAGGTTCAAAAAAGCGTAATAGTCAAAACAGCGGGGAAACGTACATAAACGGATTATTGCAAAACTGTGATATCACCAAAAGGGTAAACATGTCCTGCACTACACGTAAACTGTCGGGCAAACGGAAGTATACATTTGAACATTTGAAAATTTCAAACGTTTTCAAAACGATGAACTACTGAAAACCGTCGCCAAAATATTGCGAACATTAGGTCCACATCTCAAATATAATACCCGCATCAAATGCGAGTACCACATAATATCCATTTCTTCTTTATTTCGTTTCAGCACACCACCAAACATGGGTGATTACTTTTTTGCCCTTCAGTTTATTTTTCATCTCTCCTTGAAATTCGACTATCATCAGAGGAAGACTTTGATGTTGACACACTAAATAGCTGTTACAGTGGGTGAATATGTCTGGGTTAACGCTGATTTTAACAATATTTCAGTTATATCACGTCAAATTCTTTCGTACAGATAAAGACATGAAGGTTTTAGACGTCACCCCCTGGTGTCAATGGTAAGCAGTGTGGTGCAGACAAACCAAGGCGAATCTGGGATTTGAACCATAAATCAGTTTTCTTGCACGTCTAAAGCCACTGTGCCATCTTGCCGACAGAGAAATACAAGTAAGGTGAATGCCTGGATTCAACAAAGATCCCAGGGTTGTCAGTCGGCATTACCTGGTAGGTGGTGGGGTCCATATGCACCTGCATGTAAACACTGAGGTTATTGTTGATGCAGTACAACACAGCAGGAACCAAGAACGGCAGGCAGTTGGCCAGTGATGGTACGGTGATATCACCTCGTCGCAGTTCCGGGAACAACATTGCCACAGACAAGACAATCTACAACACATACAACACATCAACGTAATAACAATCTGTCCATAAACATACATGGTCTGCTAAAGGAAGGGATTTCTAATGCAAATTGATAAAATAGGCTATACAACCACAAAACAAACCTTTACGACTTCTGTAGACAGAACAACTGACGACGACCTGAACGGCAGATTCCCCTCCACCAGACACAGGTGTGCCAGGATGGTGTACGAGCTGTAGATGAACACTCTGGAAACATACATGAATACAATACAGACTATATACAGAATATTCTTTGCTATTCAAGTCCTCCTTTTCGACATCGATGTACAAAGGTATCCGAGCTTTAAAACACTTTTCAAAATATCCGAGCTTTAAAATACTTTGTCAAAATATTAAAAATTAAGAATATAATAATATAAGGGCATATGGACGAAATCTTGATGCCGCTTTGTTAAATTATTGAAATATTTGCAGTAGCAATAATACAAGAACACGACATTAAGAGAACATTTTGCGATGTTGCAATGTCGTACATCTATTGGATAAGACTTGTTGTTAATGTTAATAATGTTAATGTTAATAAATAATGTTCTAAACTAAATGTTAGAAAATTACAACAAATTCATTTTGTACAGTTGCGGTTATTCTCATGATAGCTTTAATGTTGAGGGTTCTTTGTGAAAAAGCAATATATATATATATATATAGATAGATATAGATATATATATATATATATATATGAAGTCAATAGAGATGTTTATTTGGTGATTGTTTCGTGCAGTGTGTGCCATTCAGTTCGTTAGCAGGAACTGAACACGTTAATCATGAGATACAGAACAGGTGAAGGTGACATTAAATCAACCAAGAAGAGAAGTAGAAGGATGAGGGACCGACAGATGGTATCCGTTTTTTTCCCATTACGACAGAAAAGTGTTCATTGTCAGATTGGGTTTTTAACGAATTAATATATTTGGACATGTGGTCGGGGTCAGGTCAGGCTCGAACCCTTTAAACAGATAACCCTAACACGAGTGGTTTTCCAACTGACCGGGGCGAATCGCTGACACTTCGTTTCTCCAAACTGGGACGAGCCTATCCTATCTTTCGTAGCAGTTCTAGTTTGAAAGATGGATTCAGGCAAAGTAAACAAATGTAAGTATAGAAGTTGGTGTTTTATTTTTGGATGAATGTTTGCTGGTGCATGAATGTGATGTTGACAGTAGGGAGTACCGGCCGTCCGACCCCTCACATAGCGTGAGTGAGTGAGTGAGTTTAGTTTTACGCCGCACTCAGCAATATTCCAGCTATATGGCGGCGGTCTGTAAATAATCGAGTCTGGACCAGACAAGCCAGTGATCAACAGCATGAGCATCGATCTGCGCAATTGGGAACCGACGACATGTGTCAACCAAGTCACCGAGCCTGACCACCCGATCACGTTAGTCGCCTCTTACGACAAGCATGGGTTACTGAAGATCAATATTCTAACCCGGATCTTCACGGGTCCCTTACATAGCGACCCTCTCCGGACTAAGTAGAGTCTTGGCTTACAATTCTCATGACAATGTGGGGCGCAGTTACAACAATATCATGTCCGTGACTACATATATATAGACCCTTTACATACCTTATTAATTAGGGCGGTGGGGTAGCCTAATGGTTAAAGCGTTGGCTCGTCACGCCGAAGACCCGGGTTCGAATCCCCACATGGGTACAATGTGTGAAGCCCATTTCTGGTGTCCCCCGCCGTGATGTTGCTGGAATATTGCTAAAAGCGGCGTTAAACCAAACTCACTCACTCACTCAGCCTTATTTATTAACACAGCAGTCATCTGATTTCCCCAATTTCAAATGTCTTTTAAGCCTTCATAAATATTGATTGATTTTGACCAAACCTGGTCTTGAGGTCAAACACGTCTATAGCTCCGTGATACCAAGATGCATAAGTATTCTCATTAAATATGACACCGTAATATGATCGGTCGAATCTGTAAACGACTCCTATAAACCTCCTATAACTACAAACTTTTGTATTTAATATCTATGTATTAATATCTTTGAGTATAGTAAACTATTTGAATAGTATTTTAAAATGAGAAAATGTCAGTGTATAAATTAAGCGGCGGATCATTTAGCACAGTATATAAACCTCATATGTATGTTTCAGTTATGCAGAAGTGCGCCATGGTGACCTTCACACTTCTTTTGATCTATAATGTATGTCAGAAACACGGCTGTGTAATAATAACTAATATTCTTAAACAGGGTAGGAATAATTAACATATAAAGTGTGTTTGCGCGATGGCACAGATCAAAGTCATCCCGTTATTAACCAACCCGATTTCATTAGTTTCAGCAAGGAAATCATTAAGATTCGACCAGAAGTAAATCACTTGTCTCAATACGGAACAGTACGAGGTGATACTGTTATATACTCACAAGGAAGATCGATTGAACCGTGGGTAGTGCGACGTCGTGTTGCAAGCGATAGTGTTTTTATTCTCAACAAATCGCACTGCAGCTTTGTTTTAAAAACAAAACCTAAATATTTAACACTGCAAGTTGATTATATATTACAAATACTAACAGTTTCAAATATCATATTACAATTTTAATTCACTACTCTTAAATAACAAAGAGCGTGTTGTCACATTTAACGTCAAACGTACAACACGCCAAACGCTATGAAATGCGGAAATGGCTTTCAGTCTGATTCCAAAACAAGTAAGTTATTCAGTTATAAATCTAAAGTTCGATCGTAACTGTTTCTTTTAGAAGTTTTTTTTTGTTTTCAGATAGTTATTTAATTTGGGAATTATTTTTTTTATATTACACGAATAGATGTCGCAACAAAATATGGTTTAGTATTTTGTTGGCTTGTGAAGTACCAAACCAAACCAGATATTTTGATATTTTGATTTCTTTGTTTAGGTATTTATTAATCCAGATCTCAAGCTCACTAAGTTCGATCGTAACTTAGCTTTGGAAGTTATGTCCTTTGTCTGAGCTAACTGGCGATTAACATCAGCTATCAATTATGTAACACAATCGGAATGAATTTGGGTGGATATTTGTCGAATATTTGAGGTATCCGGCTCTGCAGCACCAGTATTAGAGCATGGTGTAGACAGGCAAATGTTGATTCCTGCAGCAATATAATAGTGTTTAAAACAGCATTCAACGCAAGTCACTCAAACCAACCTACAGTAAATGTTACACGGCTCAGATACTCACTCAGTTACCAGCAAAATCCCCCACAGCAGGCTCTTTATCACATGTTTGCCACCACACACGGTAGATTCGAATCCCAATTCTGCTCCCTCCGACTCCTCAAATATTAAATAAAATCGTCAAATGTAAAATGCTTAATATGTAAAACTACAATGACATGTGGAATTGTGGAATTTAAACATTTTTACAATCATAAGTTGTGTAGAACAAATTGAAACGTAATTACTAAATATATTTTACCAGATTGTACTGTGCCATGATGTTGCGATGGAGGCCCCCGTGTGCTACACTGATTCAACAATATCTACCATTCGCTGCGTCGGCAAGGTAAGTAACAGATGTATGTATAAATCAATAGATCTCTCTTTCATTCCACTACATTTTGACACCATAGCATTAAACCAGGAATGTAATTATTCGCCAGGTGTTAATATTATAAGTTAACACATCGTGTCTCGGGAAAAACGGGGTTTTATCAGTCCCTCGTAAGGTTACAACCTTACTCGGGACTGATAAAACCCTGTATTTATCCACTTCACACATTCCTCAGTCCATAACGCCCATTTATCTAGCCGAATGTTTTGCTTCAATTTCATTCTCAGTTGTTACCAAAGGCTTGGCGATGCACGCTTTTTCACTTCGCGTGGTCACCGAGGCGTGGCGGGATAATATGACTTTTGTACTCCCTGCTCGCGGATCGTGACGGGTGTACATGGTATTTTATCAGAGTCACGTGAACCAATCAAAACTCGACATTCTTACATGAGGCTGGATAAATGGTGTTGTATCGTCACGTGGGCATTGTTTCACTGATCCGTACGTGCACCACATCTGGCCCCCCAGACCAGTGTAGTAGCCTACAGCACCTAGGACGCCACTCACCAACCCTCATCCAGTGCATACATCCATACCTTGGCCTAACTCAAACTCCACAAAAGTGTAGACACCATGTAGCCACCACCACACCCCACAACAGTGCAGACACCATGTAACGACTATCACACAGTGTAGACACCAACAACAGTGTAGACACCATGTAACGACAACAGACACCATGTAACGACCACCACAACAGTGTAGACACCATGTAACGACCACCACACCCAACAACAGTGTAGACACCATGTAACGACTATCACACCCAACAACAGTGTAGACACCATGTAACGACTATCACACCCAACAACAGTGTAGACACCATGTAACGACCACCACACAACAGTGTAGACACCAACAACGTACTACACCACCATGTAACGACCATCACACCCAACAACAGTGTAGACACCATGTAACGACCACCACACCCAACAACAGTGTAGACACCATGTAACGACCACCACACCCCACAACAGTGTAGACACCATGTAACGACCACCACACCCAACAACAGTGTAGACACCATGTAACGACCACCACACCCCACAACAGTGTAGACACCCATGTAACGACCACCACACCCCACAACAGTGTAGACACCATGTAACGACCACCACGCCCAACAACAATGTAGACACCATGTAGCGACCACCACACCCAACTGTAGTGCAGACACCATGTAACGACCATAATACCCCATGTCATTGAAAAGCAATGTTTGAAAGACCAACACTTGCTTTTCCTATCCTCTTAGCACACCGACCACGTATCTTTTGTGTTGTACATGAATGTATATACATATAAAACAATACCCATGATACTGTGCTGGGAGTATGTACACCTTGATCAATATACAGATGTGTAAACAGGTGCCCTGTAAACAACTCAATACCTAAGAAGCAAATCGCCATCGAGACCAATCGCCCAGACAAAGGTAAAATACCTGTTACTTTCTATTTGCTTTTTATTTTATATGATATTTTTACATACTTTTTCAAATTGTCCAAATTCAAAATGGCATTGACATGTGGAAATGTTTTACAGTTCAGTAATTCATAGATATATACGCAGATCATTTCGCTGGTCCTTGAACCCATCCAGCTGTTGACGCGCATATGACACGAGTTACACATATTCACATACTCCGAAAATATGAAAAACTATGATGGATTCGAAATAATACCCATATGTTTCATTTACAAACATGCAGCCACTTTGCCAATAGTACTGTAGGTATTTTTTATCAAATAATTTAAACATATTTATATTCACCGAGTCCGGACAGGTAAGCAAAGAAATATGTCTTACGTGATTATCTCCACATCCAAAAGAAATCTGTGCGAGAGTAGAGTGAATTGTACGATTTAGAATATATCATTAGCATGTGTTTAAGAATACCTATCAAAGGGTGGTGACGCCAGGCATTCGCGAAAATATAAGCGTATCCTTCTTGAATTTGGTTGATAATGAGTCTTCAGTCAAAAGTATAATGTATTCTTGTCCCATACATGAATCGCTACTTATTACTTTTTGACAGTTACCACAAGCTTATTAGCAAACCTCAGTTTCATTCCAGAGAAATGTCTCAATTCCCAATGTTCAACAATAGATATCATTGTCGATAATGTTTGAGAAACTTTGAATACTCCTCTTAACTGCATTGTTCTCAGTTGTTTTTACTCTTTCATGGGGATACTTTACAAAGCTCGCATTTATTAAAAAAGGTCATAAAGAAACTTAATTCATTTTCACAACGTTACCTTCTTCATAGGCTTAGTTGGACTGACATGACTGATTTCGATTGTTCCGTTGCTCATTGGTAACTCCTTAAATCCACATACATTCTTTACCAACCTTGATATAATGCTATATATCTAGTTTACAAGTTCAAATTATAATAACATATTTCAAGATCTTACTTTGATCTGGTATTAGAATTGTACAGGTCGACATGGCTCCTTTCTGGATCTGATCCAGATGCTGTTTTCTGAGTCGTATATATTTTCTTCCAGGATTCAGCACAAGTACAGGCCCATTGCCACCATGAGAAAAGGACATAGAATATGTTTTTAATAAGTATAACGACAATCATCGTCGTGTTCAGCTTCTACAAGGATGCTCAGATGCCGCTGTCATCCTCGGAGATACTGACAGTTGGAATTACTAACGTATCTCCAGTTCATACGCGGCACAGAAACGCTGCAAGAACATCAACATTTGGCAAACAAGAGAAGATAATTCAACTTTTTGATGTCAAAATTACTGAAAAGGAGAGACATGTATTTGAGATCCTACTTAAAACTTTTATCGAAGCCGTACCTGCTAACGTTACGTATTTTTTGTATGCGGGTTCCTTGCTTGGCTCTTATCGTCATCACGGCATGATTCCTTGGGACGATGACCTCGACCTTGTGGTGCGAGCAGACGACAAACCAACTTTATTCACCTCACTATCCACGCTAGCACCAGAATTTATAATCAACCCACATGGTGCTCGCAGATGGAAATTTTACAGTTATACATCCCAACCTGTTCCCAATCGCTCGTGGAAGTGGCCCTCACTAGACATTAGCTTCTTCACGGATAACGGGACCCACATTCTGGATGTAGATGCCGCCATGTTTTCAAAATTTGTTTATAAACGGACTGACGTGTTTCCTCTGTGCAGGCGTCCTTTCATGGGCCTCCTTCTGCTAACACCGACACACACAGACAAGATCATACTTCAGCATTATAGCCTCAGCATCTGTCAGAACACACCAACTGATCACAGACTGGGAACAGGGATTCCCATGGACAAACGTGCGATCATACGCTGCGACAAACTGAAGGCCATCTATCCGTTTGTTCGACGAGAATACAGCTCCGATGGTACCAAGGAGATACTTGAGAGGAATAACACGCGCATTGGAGAGTATTTCATCTCAGGCAGGGATTAATAATTTGCGTTCAGTTGTGAATATGTTTAAAGTCTCATAGACATTAATGGATATTATGTCCGTTGTCCTGTAGCCATGTGAGGGAAGCTGGTGTCTTTAAACCTTGTTCCAGACAGTACGGTAGGGAGTAACACCAGAGAATAAGCAGTCTCTGCTATGATACGAACCTGTTCCATTCGGCACAAGGCGAAATGTGCCACATGCATGTATTGCGGTGAATAACAGTTTAGCCGTAGTTTAATTGAAATAGGTAAGAAAGTCACTCCAACGACCTTCACAACTGTCTTTGACTGATGTGCAAGATTCTAAACACAAACAAACCCCGTATTGAAATATGTGGGGTGTTTTACAATCAAGTTCAACTGTGACTTCTTTACATTATGTTATATTTGGGATTACACTTTCTCAGTAAAGTACAAATTCTAGTACTATGACTTCTTTGATGGGCATTTGAGAAGCTGAGTTAATGAAGAATGATGACAATTTTTATGGATATACAACTTCTTTTCTTCTGTGAAGGGTGACGTTTCGACATAGATTCTAATGTAGTCAAGCAAGTGATTAGAATTATAATCATTAGAATCTATGTCGAAACGTCGCCCTTCACAGAAGTAAAAGAAGTTGTATATCCATAAAAATTATCATCATTCTTCAAGTTCAACTAGTTTTATTTTGGGGGATCTGAAATATCATACTATCATACTTGGACTAACTGGAGCTAAAACGTGGTATATGTGGGAGTTAACAAATAATGTGCCGTAGTTATTGATTTCACCTAACCCGTTATCTGGTGTGGTGGTAAACTGTACCTGAATGTTCAATGGCTTATGTGTGAATACACGCCAGCGAAGGCGAAGACCCTACCTCCAGTTGCATCTTACTCCACTGTGAGCTTTTAGACTACATTCATGAAATGTCAATTTGAATATGAGCCCACGCTCACGTTCCGCGGTAGCGTGTTAGTTGACAGCGAGGTATACCAATAATATAAGGACATATGGTCAACATTTCAACATGATAATAAGCAGCATTCGCCCAACAACAGCTTGAACGAATATCATGTCTGTTTGATTAACTGTATCCCAGGCCGAAGAAAACGGCGTCATAACCCTTTTTATGTTTTTTTCGAAAACGAGTCAAACTTTCAAACATTTTATCAAATAATATGACATTAAATGCAAGCCCTGAATAATTGTTTAACTTGTTGCGATGATACAACTCTTTTCATCAACATTTTCTCATAAGGTGAACTATCGCCGCACATTCATTTCGTTCTCAAGGGTCTAGCGATAAATACAAGGGAATTACTACCTGATATATCCACCTGGCACAGACACTCGTTGATTTGTGTTTGTATTAGTGACAACATATCTGACATGTAATAAGTTTTTAAAAATGCAAACTAAATATTTGGGATCCGTTCATTTCCAAATAACACTCGTAAAGGTCCGGGTTAGAATATTGATCTTAAGAGGCGACTAACGGGATCGGGTGGTCAATTTCGCTGACTTGGTTGACACATGTCATCGGTTCCAAATTGCGCAGATCAGTGTTCATGCTGCTGATCACTGGATTGTCTGGACCAGACTCGATTATTTACAGACCGCCGCCATATAGCTGTGCGGCGTAAAACTAAGCTCACTCACTCACTCACTCATTTCCACATAAACGTGGACATGCAAACGCATTGAAACATCAACATTTTAGTCAGTTAGTTTAAGCCGCCTTGATCAACAAATTCAGTGTAATATATTGTCAGTAAGATATAAGGTATATTTCGACATTTGTATATTATATTTACTCACACGAAACAAATGAAAATACAGGGCAACAGCGGATGGAGGTTTATCGGAAACTGCATTGGCATGACTGTAGATACACTAAATATATAAAAACATACAGCAGGACAAGGGGCTGTTTTGTTTTCTTTGTGTTTTTGTTCAATATTCCAGCTATATAGCGGCGATGTGTATGTAAATAATCGAATCTGGACTAGACAATCTAGTGACGGGTGTCAAGGAAATGCAATTGGGTTTGTTTGCAAAACATGTTGTGGTAAGTATGAGTTATTGATGGATTTACACCGCCTTTCACCTTACAATAACACAAGGAAACTCATACCTAACCTTACAACACCTGTAAGGCAGTAATATCACGGACCCGTGAAGGTCTGGCTTAGAATGAGCCTTCAGTAACTCATGCTTGTCGTAAGAGGCGACTAACAGGATCGGGTGGTCAGGCTCGATGACTTGGTTGACACATGTCATCGGTTCCCAATTGCGCAGATCGATGCTCATGCTGTTCATCACTGGATTGTCTGGTCCAGACTCGATTATTTACAGACCCTCGCCATATAGCTGGAATATTGCTGAGTGCGGCGTAAAACTAAACTCACTCACTCACTCAGTATAATAGTGATGTGAAATGCGTTTTCAGGTTCCAGATCAATGTACTCACACCCGTCTGGGGCACCATTACAAGGGACAATTTATAACAGAGTGGTAAAAATAGAAATACGTTACAAATTTCTTACTTGGTAATAACGACATGTATGACATCGGAATCATTATGTTTGGTGAGCAGTAGTTAACATAACATTTCCCATGTTGAATAAAGTTGTGTTCCAATCCTAACATCTGGACGTCACATCTTATGACAAATACATGTATTTCTACTTATTCTTCACGCGTATGTATATTGCTGCTACAAGTGGTACTACGGTACCAATGTTCTGTAAGACCGAACAGAGAACAAGTTCAATATATATTAGGGTAGAAGATATAAAAATATATCATTCCGATATCTATCTCAGATAATGCCATTCTGTCTTTTATCATATATAGATAATGCCATTCCATGTTCAAAGTTCCATAGTTCACCGATTATAATGTCCCCATGCCAATCATATATATTGATCTCATTCTTGTATGTTCTGGTTTAATAAAAAGAACATTATCAATAAAATAAATTAAAGCACATCCTGTCATCTCGCCTTATGATGGGCTGACAAGCACCTGTTACGTGAATTCTACTACCACGGGGAGGATAGTGCCAAAACTAGAAATATATCCGGGGCGAGACGGGATTCAAACCACGATTATATAGAATAGGGTTACTGTGCCCAAGGTACGCTATACAGCTAATTGCGGCGCCTTAGACCAATAGGCCGTGTTTGCCATCCCTTACCTCAATGTAAACTATTCAAATGTAATGTGTAGTTGGAAGAGGGAGGAAAACTGACAGTAGAAACAATTCAAACTAAATCCTTTGGTTGGCAGAACTTCTCGTATTTCCAAAGTGAAATGTTTTCAAGTCTGGAGCCGGTAATCTCTTTTTAGATTAGAGTTTGCGAAAGGCCTCTTAAGCAAAGCTTTCATAGTGCTAAGGTTAATATCACTATTATAATTATTATAAGTAGTTTGGTTGAGACATTGTTTTCCTTAACAAGCTGGTATAATAGACTGTTTCCGTAAAATCCGTTAATACCTTATCAAAGATGCTAACAAACGATTAACCACACAGCTGAGCATGGACAGCTATATTCTACTTTAACTAGTGGGCTAGATTGTACATGGCCTTGCGACACGCTGGTTAATGATCCGATGGTCTCAATCAGCCCGCGGCATTTATGTTTAAATAAATATATATATTGAATGAAGTATTATAGAAAACTGCACTATTTCGGTGAATGTAGCTCCCAGTTTTCTGAAAACGAATTCGTTGAAACTGTCCGGTCGACATTTGAGCTCAGGCACGTCAATATGAATGCAGATCCCATGTGTAGTTAAGAGGTACTTATGTAATATCAGAATTACTGAAATGATATAGTTGAATAAGAATATTTGCTTTGTTACTGAAATGCTAAATCGTTCAATGAGACGATTACTATAAAATTTTCTGAAATACTAAATCTGAATAAGATGACTTACCTGGCAAGTCCAGTCTCAGGGCTAAGGCTAAAAATTTACAGTTTACCAGCTCTGTTTATTTACAGGTTTACACCTCCGCAGTTGATTCCAAACAAAAATAAACAAATGAAATGACCACACAAAGCGTAAAATCAACAACAGCTACTACAGAAATTTTGCACGACACTGCTGCTGTCAAATTTAGAACCAGTATTTGTTGCCTCCAAACAGGTGCTCTAAATATACCCGCACGTGGTGCCTGGTTAAAAGTAATTGAAGGCACACGATAGAGCCACATCAGATCATACACTTTGTTGTGGCTCTGTCCACAATCGCATCTAAACAAAGTTCATCTAAATATCTGGAGCAGTATGTGTAAATCAATTAAGATTCCGCGCTCTACACACAAACTGGCCTCTCGGACAGCGGTCCATGACATTGTCTCGTAAATTTGGCGAACAAACATGCGGTCAGGTTGCAGTGTTGTCGCTTTGGACCTTAATCGCCGCCATGTTTGCAACTCGCGCTAAGAACCCTTGCATTCACCTTGCACTGAAGTTCATGTACACGCGTGGGTTCCAGTGTCGGAGACGTATAAAACCCTGGTCAGAGCTGGCACCACCACACTTCACCTCGGCCTTCCATAACGCCACATCAAGGAACCGTCTTAATAGTCTTCAGTCATGAACCGACTCTGCGAGAATTGTCTCACAGCATTCATAATTCTCACCGCCATCGGTGTTGTCCAGCTTCACTTCATTGTCCGCCAAGGC